TATAGGACTAGTACGGATTACCAAGCCTTTAATTGACACAATTTTATCGACATCTATACCAAGTTAGTCTTTCGTGCCCAGAAAAGGGTGTTAGAACCTTTACCAGACGGGTTCAATTCTCTCATATTCACTGTTTGGTCCAGTCCAAAAGGTCGGACCTTAAAGTTTCTCCGTTGAACCTCTGCCAAAAGATCCACAGTTTCCGCTTCTTCATTGCGGGGTGTCTGTACATCATCACCCCGTTCAGAACTGGGCACTGGAGGCTCAGAACTCATAATCCGACTACGCTGAGAAGTACGGCTGGGTGTACTTTGTGACTGCCTCTGACTAGCCATCTCCGCCTCAGCAATCTCATACATAACATCTTTGATCGACTGATCCATAAGCGGGATGACTTCCTGAGGGTAGTTCTGGGTTTGTTGCCAAAGTTTTTTAGTCGGTGGATAAGCTTTGAGATTGCGTAGATCTAGATTTAGAGAGTTGATGCCCAAAGTTAACATTTCCTTCATCATCTCAAAATACTCTTTGATGTTAGTCTCCGGGCTTGATTGGATCTCTTCCTCAGATATACCATCTACAATCATTCGATACCTCTTTGTATAATTTCTTAGAAAATCCTTAAAAACAGTGTAAGTATCAGCCGTCGAAACATTAGTACCCCAGATTGTCTGGCCATTGCCTCCTAATGCCTCGGCATCCGATGTAGTTGGATCAAGATTTGAAAAAGATGGTGCATCTGAAGCATGAGCAGTTTCTTGCACCACACGTCCAGTTTCGTCCATAAAGATACGTCTCCGGGCACGGGGCGTTCTAGCACCATCAGAGTCTATATCGCCACGTCTGCTATTATTAATGGCAGATCCATGGCCAAGTGAACGAGACGACCTGACAAATAAACCACTACTATCGCTATGGAGAGCAGATGGCTGGCGGTTTGCAAATCCACCGCCTGGACTAGAACTTGAGGCATATCGTATGGGAGATGAATCTATCTTAGTCAACACTACGGATCTGATCATAATACTACATCCTCTTACCTCCAATGAGCTGACCACTGGCTCTCGGCGTGCGATCGCCATCAGTCTGAGTCGTTTGAGTATTACTCATCTGCCGCAAGGGAGAACTGACATCTCGCATATGATGATCAGGCTCCACTGGTGACGAGCGGAAATTCATAGGTGATGAAGATTGGAGAGGCCGCCTCGGTGTGCCATTATTTTGAGATTCTCCCTGAGAAGAAGCGGCTTCATTGTGAAGCTGTGCAGCAGCAGGATCAACAGGACTACTAGGTGCAGCAGTAGTTCTACGGGAAGACCGTCTTGGTGTTGCTGATTGAGAGCTACGTTCTCTCCTGGGTGCGGGGGAAGACATCTTGGTCGTTGCTTCTAATGCTGCGTTTGTTACGAAAACGAAGAATAGTTCAACGTATGCAAGTTGTGGAAACGGAGGAACTGGCGAAGAAAACGCGTCTAACGCTACGCGAAAGTTCGCGCTCGACGTGTCGAAGTGCTTGCAGTAGCGTATTGAGTTACCCCTGACACTTGCGTTTGCTATACCAGCGTACACTGTCGCGGATAATTAATTATGCAGCTCCGGGAACTTCCAGTAGGAAAGCGTATCCTGAATCTCTCCAAGGTGCTCATAGTTGCGTTTAGTGAACTTAGCTCTCGTACACTCCCTTCTTCTTCGTCTTATGGATTTATCTAACTATCTTAACTAGCTAACTTTGAAATGGTGCTCATGTATGAAGAAGTATAGCTATCATCGAAATGCTATTTTGCGCCTCTTATACTTGCAGTTGTAGGAAAATACTTCAACCGAGCTTGCCAGTCAGATCCAAGAGTAACTGCCCACTAGAAAGCTTTTCTAAGTAGTAATTATTGGCTGTTCATACTCAAAAAGGAAGAAGGAATAACGGGGTGTTGTGGTTTGTAACTTGAACCTTATATTTCAGGCAATCGGGAATCACATCCCCAATTGTGAACAGCTGGAGGTCCATAACGACCATTAAATTCGCCCAAGGTCCCAATTTAACAGCTATCACAGCAACCATGGCGCCAAATATGAGCCTTTTCTCTGTGAATGCAGTCATTATACTCTCTACAGAAGATGGCTCTAGACTCTTTGCAAAATACTACCAAGCACCACACCACACCGCAGGCCCCGCGCATGGAAGCTGTACGTTATTTCACCTCACGCGTGCTCCTAGCAACACTACCATCTTCGATATTATTTCCTTGCCAAATGTTACCCACCTAGTCTTGCGCATTTTTGCCTATTAGCTTGCATGTATTGTACTAACGGAAGGCAATAGCCAATCCACAATCCCCATATCCAGACGTAAAGGCGCAAAAAACATTTGAGAAAGGGCTTTTCGAGAAAACTGCAAAGCAAAATGGAGATATTATAGTTTATGATTCCCAAGTAGTGCTATACAAGGGAGAGAGCGATTTGATGGTCTACGTTATTGGAGGACAAGACGAGAACGAGATTATGTTATATCAGGTTCTACTAGCAGTCCGAGACTCGCTCCATTTACTATTCAAGTAAGCAAAGAGTTATCTTTGTCATTTTCTCGTTGTAATTGAAGGGAGAAACATGACTGACATATTTATACAACCAGGCAACCATTAGACAAGCGGACTGTTGTGGAAAACTATGACCTAGTTGCTCTTGCCATTGATGAAATCGTTGACGATGGAATAATTCTTGAAACCGACCCCACGATCATTGCACAGCGAGTTAGCAGAGCTCCAGCACAGGATGTGGCGCAATTGAAGGGTATTGACCTTAGTGAACAAGGCATGAATAACCTAGCACAATTTGGTAAGGCAAAGCTTGGAGATTGGTTAAGGCAAGGGTTGTGATGCAATTCATAACCTGTCATGTGAAATAATCTCGATAGAACACGAGGTATGATGAAGAAAATACGGGAGCAGACATTCGGAGTTAAGGTATGTTCGTCTCATTCCGAGACTGTCACATGAATAGAGCTATTGTATTCTGGGACTTAGGAGAACATGGTTTTATTGAAATATGAAGCCTCTATGTCTCTATATCCGTTGCTGCTTTTCGTAGCCTGTTCATCACCGCAGCGGCTATGTCTCCTTGATCTTCTATTCCCTCTACATAAATGACATCGACACCCTTCCTGTCCAACTCTCGAAGTGCGAAGAACAATCCACGTGCAATATCTTTCGTCTCATTACCAAGGTAGATCTCGGTAATATGTGCGATACAAATCTCAGGGGAAGTTCTCGTCATACTACCTAACTCAGCCAGGGAAACTGGTCGTCCGGCCAGAAGATCTGCTTCGGTAACTGCATAAGAATCATCCGTCTGAATGCTGCCTTTGACATGCAATACAGTCCAGAAATCTTCACCACCTATCGAACGGTATTTTCTATCAAGACCTGCGAACTCAGCCCATTTTTTAGTCCTGATAATGCCGATATGAGAGACATCGCTATTCTGAGAACTGGTATTATTGTTATCTCCTTCCCCATTCGCCATTCTGGCATTCAGAGGTATCAGAGGCGTAACACCTTCCGAAGTTGCCTCATAAAGCACCACCTTCGCCTTAGGACTGTAGTGCTTGTATTTCATACCAGGAGCTCTGGGGGCGCTTGATCCGACTTCACTCCTATCCTTATAACCTTTGACAGCAGTCTCCCATCCATGGCATTCACGGATCTTATCAATACTCACTCCGCCAGGACGCAGCACGACGGGCGGATCGCACAGCCCATCCACAACAGTGCTCTCGACCCCAACTTGACAGGAGCCTCCATCCAGAATCAATTCAATCTTGCCATTTAGGTCATGTAGTACATGTTCTGCCGCAGTAGGTGATGGTTTCGTTGACGCATTTGCCGAGGGAGCAGCAAGCGGAACTCCAGCAAGTTTTATAAGAGAAAGGGCAAGTGGTGAAGAAGGCATTCGAGCGCCAAAAGTTGGTAGCCCAGCTGTCACTTCTGGGGCAAGCTTAGAAGGTTGTGGATTCTTTAGTAGTATTGTCAGAGGGCCTGGCCAGAATTTCTTGATCAAAGGCTTATATATTTCCGGTATTAGCTCGGCTTTGTTCAATACCCCGTTCGTCTCCGTAGATGGAAGTAGAAAACTTCGCAGCATCGACAAGTCACAGAAGTGCATGATCAAGGGGTTATCTGACGGTCTGCCCTTGGCTTTGTAAATGCCCTTAACAGCATCACTACGGGTAGCATCAGCCCCAAGCCCATACACCGTCTCCGTTGGAAATGCCACTGGGATACTTGTAGTTTTTAAGTGTTGGGCCGCCTCATGTAGTGGTCCACTACTTTGAAGCTCTCGAGGTACCTCCCAGTGATCCAAAGATTCCGAGTCTTTAAACTTTCCAAAATCACTGATGCGTGCCGGCAGTATTCTGGTCTCTAAAGCAGACTGACTGCCATTTGTGTCTGCTATTTTTGCACCCATTTTTTCAAGAGTGTTGGGCTTGCCAAGGAAGCCCTGTATAATACTTCGAATATTCTGAAAAGCCAGCGCAAAAACTTCACCTAGGTATCCTTCTACCCTGGCGATGATAAAATGTTCTGACAATAGGTTGAACTGTGGTAAACATTCTTTGGTTCAAAAAAAGGCCCTAACAGAGTGTCTTTGACGCATCTGTAAGATGGATGACTCCAATAAAAATCTTCAAGGAAAGGATGACACTGCTGCCTGAGTCCTTGAAGCTGTACTTAGCAAGGCTATAATTTCTCAGCCTTGCATACCACGTGCAAATCCTCACAGTGACTGGCTATTATCAAATAGCAAAAAACATCATTGAGAGCAAACGTGCCTGATTTATTGTGGAAGGATTCCTCTTCCCAAATCTTTCTCGGTCTGAGTACAGAGCCCTTTTTGTATGTGATTTTATGAAAGGTCTTCAGAGAGGTTCCTTTACGAGGTTTATTTCAGTAAAATTTTACTCAAAAAAATTATTCAATTCCCAGTCTGAGACGGGGCAAGAGAAACCGATTTCCCTCGGACCGGATTCGAACCGGTGACATCCAGATCAACCTGAGCATTTACAGTCTGACGTCATAAACCAACTAGACGACCAAGGGTGATACCAATCGAGCCATTACGGCTGCTTGTTGTTGCCTTATCTCTTATCTTCTCATAAGAACATAATAGCGCTATCACTAACTTACAACTTGAGCTACATGCAGCAGTTATTTAATCCATTAACTAATTTTGATAATAGCAATCTTGCCTCATCGTCTGCGCCAGTTACTTGATCTAAACAAGTTTACAAGATTAGTCAATAGTTATTTAGGGCATTGCTACGGTTATTATGGTTTTCATGAGTTTTTCGTATTTACATGGATCCAACAAGGTAGGGTGCGCCAGCTATTTAATGAAACCATTTTCGTCTCCAACTTCTCATTAATTATGGGGAGTATATTTATTTGCAATACGTTTTATATGTAAGACTTTGTTGCTTCAACTTCGAAGGCTGTTCAATTCGTCTTGTCGGTCTGATTTATTTCTAGGTGAAGTTCATTTCAGCTTCCTCCGCTGTTAAGCTAATTGAAAAGAGCTTCTACTAACTCATCAACGGACAATGTAGAGTCCCTACAATAAAGCTACAGTGCCTGTCCATATCAGAATTGACATGATGACACACCGTCTTCGGGATTTACAGGCCGCAAAGTGGTCGCCGATTATTCTAGCTTCGCGCATATTGCCGCTACCCCGCTATCGCCACGGGGCCTATTTTCAAATCTAGAGTAGATGACTTAGCGGATAGACGTTAACTATAAAAATATAAGCTGCCGGCAGGACGCCAAAGCAATACAAATCACAAATCACCTAGTTAGAGCAACAGAAGGAGAGAAGAACTATCGTCGAGGAACTCGTCTCAAACAGACTCAAGCATAAGAAATATCACATCTAGCAAAAATGTGTATGCAAACAACTTGTCCAACTTGCAGTATGTCATGAACTCTCATCTTCTTGCTCTACTATAGTCTAGGTGTTCCGGATGCACAGCGAAGAAGCTAACAATCAGTGTAGAGAAGGCCACATGGAGGGGCTGTGGTCAGCATGTCCCCAGCGTGATGGATAAGATTCCTGAGGATCAGCGATGCACCTGCGAGCCGAAGGTTGAGAAGGAGGGCAAAAAATATCCTCCCATGCCCCAGCAAAGCTGACTAGATGGCTTATTACCAGTTGGTGTTTTACTTATCGGTTTTCTGGTGTGGTACTTCAGTCAGTAGGGTGACAGACCAGATATATTCCTTTGTCTTCGCAGCAGAATTTCAGTCATAGAGCAGGATCCGACCATGTTGAATAAAGATTCAATTACTTAAGAAATGGTTCTATTCCTAGATTCCTAATGCTATCTGATACCCAAATGCCTGTGCTCCGTCCCTATCTCTCGCCATTGACACCTTCCAATGAACCGTACACTCGTGTATGCAAAGTTACATAGTCATTAATCAGTCGTCACATTACCATCATTGAGCGAGCTGAAGCCAGCTGTTTGCAGATTTGGAAGATACAACTGAGCTATTCTTCCTAAGCTTCCGCTTGTTTCTCTGCTTGCTTGGCCTTAAGATTCTTCACGGCTGCTCTTATCAATTCAATAGTGATATCAACTCCCGTTTTCACGGAAGCAGGATCACTATCAACAGGGACATGGAGGAATAAGACCCGGGCGTCTTCTCCCTTTCGGTACAGATGTGCTAGACTAGAGTAGTAAATGAAATCGCAGAGATATCTCCCTGGATCCTCGGATATCCTAATATCGCAGTCCTGCGACGGACAAAGGGTCACTTAATGTTCATTTGTATATACTAGGTAATAATATAGAAAACTTGTCATACAGAACATTCGCAAAATTAAAATCATAGAAATAGAAAAAGAGATAAAGAAGAAAAGAGAATAGATAAGGAGCATAGCCCACACTTACAGGTAGACTCTTTTTCCAGGTTCTCCAAACCTCGTCTACATCAAGAGTGGTTTTCAGCTCATGTGGCAATCCATGCCAATAGAACTCCTCGCCTACTTTATCCTCATCTCCAAGGAGCTCGCCATCAACGTCGCGCATAGCATACCCGTCTCGATGTGCTCTCCTTTCAGCACTATAGTAAGTTCTACCGGAGGCCATCCCTATGTGTAATACCAAGTCCAGTTTAGGGCCGGCTGCCCGCTCCCAGAGGTTTGGTACGAGTTCACGCACATTCTTGTAAGCTACTTTGACTGGTTCCGGATGCACCAGAATACGGACACTTGGATTGGGGTCCGAAGACTTTGATGATAACGCACCGGAGGAGGACGGTGGAAGGAAAGGTGGGAGGGCCCTAGCGATTTCCCAGGAAGGATTCACTGGGTATCGGGAGGTGAAGGGCTGAGTTCCATATCTGCGATGTTAGCATAAGTAGGATCTCAAAGTTGCTAGACCTTTGGCCTGACTTCATCGCCTCTACTAAGAGAGATGCCAGCCTTAAATGATCCTGAGCGAGTGTTGAAAGTGGGCGGCCCATCACATACGGCGAAACCTGTCACCAGAATGGTAAATTCATCCTCCCATGTTGCCGGGTCTACTGTGGTCGAACCCATTATCTACCAAAAAACAGCAAGACTTGGTGTCAAGCTAGAACATGGAAAATTAAGAGAAAGAAGGAGGAGGACCGGGATTGTGACGTGGTGATGGCTGCTTATGGTATGGCTATCTGGTGCTCTCTGTGGAGAGGAGGGGTGGTGGGCTGTGGCTGTGACTCTGCGGTGGCAGTGCGTTTATCTGCCGTTGCCGTGCAGGGACATGGTTTCAACTCCGGGTAGCCAATAGAGGATGAGTAAACAGACTTGGTTGCACAAACGCCTGATACGGAACTAAACAATGGCTAAGCCTTGATGAAGGTAAATCACACGTGCCGTCTTAAGAAGCGTACAATTAGGCAAGATATATTGTGTATCTATTGATTATTGCAGCTTGATCAGCTGGTAAATCTCTCAGTTTATATGGACTGAGATCATGAAGTTATCTCCTGAGTTGAGATTCGTAACATGGAATCTCATGCCATCATGCATAATAGTCCTCCAAAAGGCATACTAACTACTGATGTTAGACATAGCCGGGTCTGTTAACCAACGCCAATATCACCAGATCATCATGATGGCCGGGCTATTGGTGGGAGGGTGTACCGACGGCATATTGCTTGGCGGCGAAATCGGCCACAGCCGCACGCCATAGTTACTCTCGAATTTCCGCCTAGTATCTGAGACCAACCTTTGTAAGTGTCGACTCCGAAAAGTTGCATATAACTTATGGTCGTGTAGACTAGAACGTGTTGTGGACAATTCCATACTCATTCTGGTTAGGTCGACACTCCCTCTCCACCCGCTATGGATCAATAGGTTTGGAACTCAAAAAAGCTATGGCTAGATATTGTGCCAGTATTGACACCCAATTTTCATGCAAGAACTCGATAGATGAGCTATTGTCCGAAGGCTGAAGCTAAATTAAATTTCCGACGAATGATAGATGCAAAGGAAAATCCGGCGAAGCCACAAACACAGCCTATGGGACTTTATTTAGATACGGCTGATAGTAACTCCCGCCAAGCTAACCTAGGTGAGTTTTGATCTAGGCGTGTGGATTTCAATCGTCTCTATTGCGTATTGTTGGGCAAATGCTGAAGACCCTCATATTCTCTTGGCCTCCCTCCATAGCCTTGTGGCATCGAGAACTGTGGGTTACAGAATGTATGAAGATTTGGTACATCACGAATAGGGCTGTAGTGCATGGCAATGTGTGTGCATGGCAGTACCTTCAGCCCTTTGCTATTCACACCTGATATTTACCCTCAACTTGAGTAGGTGCTCAAGTTCATCGTATATTTCTGACTTGGTCATATAGCGGGACTTGGTTATATAAACGACTGCCAATCCCCTCTGTTTCTTTCTCATCATCCTTTCATCATTCACTTTGTTTCATAACTTCCAGGGCATTTCCTAAAAACAATCGTTTGGATATTCTCAGACTCCAACTTTAATAGCGTCAACTCGTATACCTTTACATAAACAACTGTTCAATCAAGAACTCCAGTTTCTTCAGTACTATCAATACATATATAATGCATTCTTCGAGGATCTTCGTTGCTCTCTCAGCTTTTGCCGCTTTTGTTTCTGCTATTCCAACACCAGTGCAACCTGCCGCCCGCTGTGGAACTACAGTTGTGCCTACCCAGATTGCCAAACTCGATGTTACAACCGGTGCCATCGAGGGCATCAACGACTACTTCCTCAAGCAAAGCATCATTGAGCACGTTGTGCAGTCAAATTCCATTGTGAACTTCGCTATTTTTGCGATCCCACCAAACAAATATGGCTGCCAATTGGTGGCTCAGTTCGGCAACGATATCTCCTTAGCTGAGTTGGAATTACGCCTTTCAATGCCCGCGTTAATGTGACGAATATTAACATTGATGGCGTTACCACCACTACGGATCTTACCAGCATGGATCTCAAGACCTTCGATAAGCAGGGGTTCCTATTTGGCACCTTTAATCTCATTGAGGACACTACCCAAGTTGTCAACACTGCAACTTGCCCATCTAATGGCGGTTTCCTCCTTTTCGAACTTGCTTTCGACAGCAGCTTGCCGGCATCTGCCACTGCCTCATTCCCACAGAATGATCACAGCGGCTTGTTTGTTGAATATAACTGTTAAGGTGCTGGTACGGGTCTATCTGTGCAGCAGCATGGTTAGGCTAAGGTAGGCTATGGTAGGCTTGGTTGGTAATTAGACCGGCGTTAGATTCATGGGCCTATGTATCCGCTGTTTTACTTTCATTTTATATATTTTCGGGGGGAACATTTGCGTGGGCATCTTGTTTTAGTATGGGTGTACAAAATTCACGTTTAAATATCTCTCTTTTAAAATAGAACCCATTAATGTTTTGGAATTAGCTAACCTCGTCCACTGAGATCTCACTCTACGAATCTTCGTCCTGTCGTTTCACGGTCTTTCGTTTACTCTACAATTTCTAAATCATAACTTCATGAGCATTGTCAATTAAATATTAAACAAGAACATAATAATTTCAAAAGAGAAAAT